GACGGAAATGTTGGTTGCTCAGAGGCAGCCTACGAAACTAGAATTTGACCTAACAGGGATGATTGTAGAAGAGACGGATGATAAACTTAAAGACCTATTGAGCACACAGGAGGCGAATTTTAAGGCATTAGCTAGAGCAATGTCAAAAGTCGACATTGAAGTTTTGAAAGAGAAATGGGAATTCGAAGATCACTTGTCTATTTTGAAATCTAAATGGGAAGCTGTCGACAAACTTCACTGGCAATTGGAAACGGCTTTGAAAGGCCCCAACCAGGAACGTCAGCAGTGAGACCACCAACTCAAGCCAAGCAGTGTTCATCGACAGACTTTACCAACAATGACGTGCAATTTAATTTTGAGTAGCTAAACTATATATACCTATATAACTTTATATAACACACTTTATTACCTAATTATACTTAGTTTTTAGTTATTATACAAATATGTTATTAACTACTACTCATTACTTTTAACTATGTTCTCAAACTGTAACTATGTAACAGCGATTTTATCCTGCTGCCTGAGAACTTCTTTTCGGGGTCTGGAATATGTACGAGCTCGTACATGATTTGATGATCTGATGTTACTGTACAAGGCAGAACTTTGAATACCACCTTTGTTTGTTAGAAGAATGTACCTTGCTTATAAGTATTGTACTAAGAGTATGTCCTGGACAGATAATATCACAATAAAGCTCGAAGAAGATCTTAGATCATTATGTAATAATTCATATTGGCGACATAAAAACATTCCTTTGTTAGTTTCCGTAGTTAACGTGTGTGAATTGTATGACATACACTCAGCCGGTTCTTTAGACATGTTCTCTTTATGTGTATGGATTACCTATATAGATTTTAGTTATATTGTCGAATTAGAGTTAGATTCAATCAAAACAGCTAAAAGATACCTAAATATTGCAGTTTTTAAACATGAAATAATTAGAGAACTACAAGAAAAATATTATGGATTTCACTTCCTTTTTACTGATGGATCAAAAAATGAGACTGGCTACGGGGCTGCTTTTTTTGATGCATGTCATGGAACATCAGCTATGTTTAAAATTGACTGTTGTGTATCCATTAAGACACTGGAACTTATTGCAATTTCAAAGGCTTTGAGCGAAGCTGCTTCGTTAAATAGTGACAGAATAGTTATCTTAACTGATACTAAAAGTGCTTTTGTAACTGGTCGTTACTTTGTTCCTTTATTACTGGGGTTGCGTATGTGTACAGAGAGAAATAATAAGTCTATGAACAACTTATTTAAATTTATTAATCACGACTGTATACAATATATATGGGTGTGCTGTAGTACGGTATACAAGACGACCACGGGACAACTGTGGTTCACAGCGCACTACAGTACCGATAACTCAAAACGTTGCGTCAGCATTCCCGCAACAGAACATATATATTAATTTAGATAACCGCAAACCAGTAATGTCATTGTATATCATCATCATCAACAGCCTTTAATAGTCCACTGCTGGATATAGGCCTCTAGTTAGAAAGAAGGTTTTGGCCTACTATACCACGCTGGCCAGACGGGTTGGTATAGGGTTTGTGTCAAGTTCGCTGGGCTGGGCTTACGGGCTGCCCTAGATAAGACGGAGGCCCTGTTATTTCATGGGCCCCGTCGTGGTTCACCCCCTGGCGCCTCAATCGTGGTCAACTCGGTCCTCGTACCGGTTCGGGCCCAGATGAAATATCTGGGCCTGATCCTCGACGGAAGGTGGCTCTTCGAAGAGCACTTCCGACAGCTTGCTCCAAAGCTGGTCGGCGCTGCGTCTGCCCTAGGGCGACTTTTGCCCAATTTGGGTGGACCTAGCGTCGCGACAAGACGGCTGTACACGGGGGTTGTCCGGTCAATGGCACTATACGGTGCACCGGTGTGGGCGGCGGATCTGACCGCCCAGAATAGGGTACGCCTCTGGTGCCCTCAGAGGGTAATGGCGGTCAGAGCCATACGCGGTTACCGCACCGTGTCGACGGAGGTAGCGTGCGCGTTGGCCGGAACTCCCCCGTGGGATTTGGAGGCGGAAGTGCTCGCCGAAGTTTATCGGCGAGTGGCTGACTCCCGGGCGGAGAGCGGATTTCGCCCTCCGCCCGAGGATGTGCGCGAGTGGCGCGAAGCCGCTCGCCGAGCCACGATGGCTCGTTGGTCGTTCCGGCTGGAGACTCCACGCGCTGGCTTCGCCGCCGTGGAGGCTCTCCAGCCGGTCATCGCCGAGTGGGCAGGGCGGCAGCACGGGACCCTTACCTTCCGGCTGACGCAGGTGCTTTCCGGGCACGGTTGCTTCGGAAAGTACCTGCACTCGGTCGCTACGAGGGAACTGAGTCCCGCCTGCCACCACTGCGACTGCAGTGAGGACTCGGCCCAGCACACGCTGGCGGTCTGCCCCGCATGGGCGACGCAGCGCCGGGCCCTCACTGCAGTCATCGGAGTGGATCTCTCGCTACCGGCCGTAGTACGCTCCATGGCCGGTAGCGACAGTTGTTTTACCGCGGTCGCAACCTTCTGCGAGGAAGTAATCTCGCAGAAGGAGGCGGCGGAGAAGGCCCGGGAGGACGACCTCCACTCGGACCCGATCCGGCGCCGGCGAACCGGGCGGCGGAGGCGCGCTTATCACCGCCTCATGCCGCCCTGAGTGTGGCCGCGGGTGGACGGGGTGGGTTTCCCCTCCACCCGCATTAGTTTGGCCAGCCGCGAGGGGGCGGCGTCCGCGTGTGCCGGACGTCGCCTAAGGAGTGAAAAATTTTGAGACGGAGCCCGCACCAGGAGCGGGCTGGCGCTAGGAGGGGTCCGGATGTCTTAATAACAGCTGTTCCCGGATCCCTCCTGTTACAGGCGCAGAGTGGCACACCGTGTGGTTTTAGTCGGTCCGAGTCCGACACACCACCCCGCCGCAAACCCCGGTGGGGTGACGGTCCGAGGGGATTTCCACACGTTAAAAAAAAAAAAAAAAAAAGGGTTTGTGTCAAGTTTTCCTTCTTTTTGCAGTGCTGGTGTCCTGCGTTGTTTTGCGCCCTTAGTCGGCTCTTACGACACTCACGGGATGAATTGGGGTAGTGACATTCAGTATTCTTAATCCGTCGCTACACGGACAAGTACAAGTATACACGGACAAGTATAAGTCATTGTATATGGATATGACAAAAGCGTTTGATCACGTGGATCATAACATACTAATAAAAAAATGTAAAATTACGGGATTAGAGGCAATGTCCTTGTCTTGATACAATCATTTTTAGAAGATAGAAATCAAATAACACAGATAAATTCAGTCAATTTCAAATCTAAAACTGAGGTAGCTTATTCATCAAATGCTGGAAAAATTAAAAACGGCGTGCCACAGGGAAGTGTTTTGGGCCCATTACTTTTTCTCTCTTACATAAATGATTTTTCTAACACTACGAAACATCAAATGTCTTTATTTGCCGATGATAGTACAGTTATTTTTAATAAAGGTACATTAAATGAAATAGAATACGATGTAAATACTAGTATTGTAGACATTATAAATTTTTTAAATGCTACCTTAATAACCTAAAAATCAATCTGTCGAAAACAAAATTTATGAATTTTCAAATAAGATGAAAATGGAAATCAGAAGTACACATCTCATATAAATATGAAATCATAGAAGAAAGTACAGTAACAAAATTTTTAGGGCTTCAAATTGATAATGACATGTCATGGAAAACTCAAATTAATTGTGTGTGTAATAAATTAAATACATTTTCCTATGCTTAATATAGCTATCAAAAAGTAGCTAATGAAAATGCACTTCTTGCCGCTTATCACGGCTATGTGTCATCAACCTTAAGGTTCGTCATAATATTCTGGGCTAATGCCACAAATAAGCAAGACGTGTTTATAGCTCAAAAGAAATGTCTCCGAGCTATGTGTAAACTAAAAAGCACTGATACATGTAAGCCACACTTTTGTAAACTAAGACTATTGACATTTCCATCTATGTACATTTATGAAGTCTGCACGTTCGTGAGAAATAACGTTTCTCTATTTTATTTTATAGAAAGTCAACAAATTGCACTTATTAAAAGCCAAAACAGCACTTCTACATAAAAGTGTTTACGCAATGGCACCAAAGCTGTACAATCATTTACCGAAACAAATCAGAGACCGTAAAAATGTTAATGAATTTAAAAGCAATCTCTTAAAATTACTTATTGACAAAGCATACTACTCCATAATAGATTTTCTGAATGATAAATTTTGATTTCAATTAGTATATAATTATAAAAATAAAATAGCCTTTATTCTACTACCAATAATCGATAAATACACAAATTATTTTTATCATGCTCTTAATATATCTACAACCAATTTACTATAATTATTATACTATTAAGAATTTCTATAAATTATCAATAAGCAATAATAATTACACATTTCAATATTTACAATAATAAAAACATTTAAAAAAAATTGGAATTTCATAATTTATATATTTTATTTGATTTTTTATTTAACATTTTGATTTATTATCCTTTTTTATTTATTATTGTGTTAAAACTATTACGTTCAAATATTTAGGTAATAGTCGCCTCTTTGGCATAGGCCTCCCCCAATACTTTCCATTGCTTTCTGTCTCTAGCTGTTCTCATCCATTCCGATCCAACACTTTGTGTGAAGATGTCTCTCCATCTTGTTCTTTGTCGTCCTCTCCTCCTCGTTTCCTCTCTGGGTAACCACTCCTTTACTTTACTACTTTTTTTGTCCATATATTGTTTTCCATTATACATACGTGACCAGCCCAGTTCCATTTTAATAACCGGATTCTTTCTCGTATGTCCTGAATTTTCGTTATTGCCCTAATTTTTTTGTTACTGATTTGGTCTTTTAATTTGATGCCTAGCATACTCCTTTCCGTTTTTCTTTGACAAATTGCTAGTTTTTCTTCCTCTTTCTTTTTCAGAGACCAAGTTTGACATCCGTAGGTTTTACTTAGCAGGATCACTACTTCATAAATCTTTTTCTTAATTTCTATTTTTACTTCTTTGTTTTTCATAATTTCCTTCAATCCCCAATATTTTTGCCATGCTATTGCAATCCTTCTGGTTACTTCATTTGCGGTGCAATTTTTAAACGATATCGAGTGACCTAAGTATATGTATTCTTTCACGTACTCTATGCTATTGCCATCTACTATAACATCTATGATTTCGCCGTTTGACATAATCTTGGTCTTAGAGGCGTTTAAAGACAAACCAACCTGTTTGCTCTCATTTGATAAACTATCTATCATAAATCCTAAGTCAGTTGCATTATCTGCGAAAAGCACTATATCGTCCGCGAACCTCAAGTGGTTTAAGAACTCTCCTCCTATTTTAAGACCAATATTCTCCCAATTTAACCTCCGAAATATCGACTCTAGTACAGCTGAGAACATTTTAGGCGATAGAGGATCGCCTTGTCTGACTCCTTTCTGAAGGTAAAATTCTGGGCCTTCTTTTTCTAATCTCACCTTTACCCTACATTTGGAGTATATGTTATGAAGCAGTTTAAGATACTTTTCATTTACACCCTGTTGCAGTAGCGAGTCCCAAATAGGAATATGAAATAGAGAGTCAAAAGCTTTCGTAAAGTCTATGAAGCACATGTATAGTCGTTGATTGTATTCGCGGCTCACCTCCTGAATCTGAGGTCCCCATGAAAAGGTGCTATCAATTATAACTCCCAAGTTTTTTACTTTGCTGCTGATCGGTATGATGGTATTGTTAAATTGAACCGGAGGCAAATGTGACCAATTAATTTTAGCAGACATTATGGGGCTCCCAATGATGCATACCTGTGATTTTGTGGGATTAATTTTGAGTCCATAGTCGTTACTCCAAGCACTTATGTGCTCTAGATCTGCATTAATAATATTAAGCGCAGTCGATAACATACTGACAGGTGCATGGGTGTATATCTGTAAATCATCAGCATACAGGTGGTAGGATGAAAGTAAATGATTGGAAATAGAATTAATAAAAATTGCGAAGAGTAATGGAGATAGAACGCCACCCTGTGGGACACCGACAGTTGCATTACACCATGAAGAGAGGGAGTCTTCAAGTCGAATGCGATGCTGACGCCCAAACAGGTAATTGTGAAACCAATCAATTGCCCCTGGAGATATGTTAAGAGAGCGAAGAATACCAAGGAGAATATGGAAATCGATGGTATTAAATGCGTTACTGAAGTCGAGTAAGGATAATACCGTTACGTTTCCACTATCCATATTTCCTCTAATATCATCTGTGATGTGGACTAATGCTGACACTGTACTGTGTCCTGCACGGAAGCCAGACTGAAAGGGATTTAGGAGATTGTTGCTTAACAGAAACTTGTTGAGTTGATTATAAACAAGACGTTCAAGAACTTTAGAAAGGAATGGTAAGATAGAAATAGGGCGATAGTCGGAGAAGGACGAAGGTTTCGATTTTTTTGGCAATGGAATAATTTCAGCTGCTTTCCATGCAGATGGAAAGACGCCGTAGGATAAGGAATGGTTGAAAATGTTACATAGGACAGGAAGAATATCATCAAGGATGGGGACAATCATTTTTTTACTGAGGCAGTCGCTTCCCACCGCATTAGATGAGATTGAAAGTATGCACTTCCTTACATCACAAGATGCCAATTGAGTAAAAATGAAGGGGAGTAGTTAGGAGTTTGAATAGATGAAAGATATTTTAAAGTTTTTGCTTTTGTTGTCTCATCAAACTCAGACGAGGAGGAGAAATGCTTGTTAAGTGAATCAAGATGTAAGTTTTTAGAAATAGGGATTAGGTTCGATTTTACAACTCCTAATGTTTTCAGAAATTTCCAGATCCTCATCGGATCGTTGTTTTCAACAGATTTATGGATGTGTTGGCGTTGCGCTTCTCTACACACCTTATTGCAGTGATTTCTTATAGTCACATATTTATCGAAGTTAGTTTGTGTAGGTCGACGCTTGTATCTCGTCTTTGCCGCTACCTTTTTCGACATGATGGCTCGTATTTCATCGGTGAGCCATGGAGCTGGCAAATGCTTTAGCTTAACACTACGAAGAGGTGCATGAATATCAAATATATTGATTAAGTTTTCATTTAAAATGTTCACTTTTGTGTCAATACACTCAGAAGATAACAGAGGTTGCCAGTCGATGCTTCTAACATCTGCACATAGCTTTTCCCGATCCATGCTACCAAAACTGCGCCGCATGACAATTTTAGGTTTGGATTTAGGAGGTCGAAGAGCGTAGGATAGATAGATTAGATCATGATGGGAAAACTCATCCGCAGAGCACTGTCCATGATTGGTTACATGCTCAGTATTGGATACAATGATGAGATCTAAGAGAGAAGGAACACAGTTTGGTGCGTTGTGAGTCGCGCCTGAGGGTAGTATTGACAGATTGCTAGACTCAACCACACTCCTCAAGTAAACAGAGCGGGCATCTCCTTTTAAGAGGCACGTATTGAAATCTCCCAAAATTATTGTGTGCTCGTAGGATGGAGTAAGATTTTCCAAAATCTGCTCGAAGGAAGAGAAATAGTTGACGTGTAAAGAAGGGGAATAGTACACACCGAGCAGAAGTTTGTGGTGATGAAGTTCCACCTCTAAGAAGAGGTGCTCGCCCGCATCCGTTGGTGGTGGCTGTGAGGACAAACTTACGATGGAGAAGGGAATGTGAGTGCGTAGGTATATGGCCACACCACCCCCACCCCGAACAGAGCGATCATTCCTAATCAGGTGGAACCCGGGTAGAGAGTAGGAGCCAGACGGAAGACATGGCTTCAACCATGATTCTGAAACTTGCATGAATATTCTTGCAATTTAGGGTGACCCGCATCTCGTGAAAATGAGCAGGAATACTCTGAGCATTAATATGGACTACATTGAAATCCTTCGGTACCTCTGAAAACCGAGACTGAAGTGTTTCTCCAAGTGAAGGAACACTAACGAAACTATCCTCTGAATCACTAGCAGAAAAGAAGCTTTCATTATCACTATGGGCCGAATCTGTCATATTACTTATAAATATGTTATACTTATAAAACAAATAATATAAAAATATTAAAAATACTGTAAACAAAATGTTCAGTACAACGAAATTTGCCTAATAATATAACAAAAAAAAAAAAAAATTGTCCACCTGCCAGTTGCGTGGTGACATTTAAAAATAACACTATAAACAAAACATAACATCGTACAAGAGTAGAAACATAACGTACCACACAGAAAAACACACAGACATGAGAACTATGAAACAAAATAATTGTTTAAAACAGGATGAAATTCACGAATCCATTGAACATTTAATGGGCCGTTGGTGTATTATTAGATAAAAACCTTTTAGTTGTTGGCAGTGCAGACCAGAAGCGGAATTTAAATTTATTTTATAAAAGTATATTAAGAATTAAAATCAAAAAAAAAGAATAATAAATAAAATTATAAAACTAAACACAAAATACAATGATTGTACTAAATATATTGTGACATGCAATGCGTCGAACGAAACGCAACAATTTCAAGATTTCGCTTCGCCCGCCTTCTAAATGTCAAAACTTACTGATGTTGTTTATTGTTTACATTTTAACACAACATTACATGGAGCATTAAATAACAAACCTTATGTGAAATTGATAAAGTTCCACACTAAAGTAATATAGTTATAAAGTTAAAAAGTTTAAAACGTCATTGTAAAATATTAAAGTTAATCTTATGAAAATGAAGTATGCACTGCGCCTGCTTTACTTACTTTTAGCCCAAGGAAGGAAAGAATGTTCTATGAATTACTTTTTTGAAGTTGCCGCGGCTCTTCTTTGCTTCGGCCGAGGGTCCTTTGTTACCACCGTTACGTCAGTAGCTTTGCTGTTGTCAGGAGCTTTGCTGCCGTCAGGAGCTACTTTGTTCAAGTCGCCAAGGGAAGCAATGCGATGTCGTGATCCGTCAGGAGCAAGAACATAAACGAGCCCCTCACGAGTCCAACACTTATTTACGCCGTATTTTTCACGTGCTGCCATAAATGCTGTGTGTCTAGAGCGGGTTAAGAACTCAGTAAGAGTGATCCCAGTGCCTTTTAGTTTGGATTTTAACGACCACATACTGTCCCGCATTGTTACTGATCTAAATTTCATGATAATAGGTCTAGGTTTCCCACCCGCCTGGCGACCCATCCTGTGGCATTGACTCAACTCATCGGGAGTGAAAGATTCAAGTTGCAGCTTTTATTGGATGATGTTAGCTGCAACCTGAGATGTGATCTCTTCTTTTTGCTCCTTGACACCATGGAGAAGAAGGATTTTGCGACGACTGTGTGCATCCAAACTGTCAAGCTCTCGCGCAATGACTTCCACTTGCTGTTGGAGCGACCTCAACATCTTCAAAATTAATGTTTTAAATGATGCGAAGTCTTCTGTTAAGGATGTCAAACTGGAGGTACTGGAAGCCTTACGCTGTAGGTCAGCTTCAAAAGTAGCCATCCTCTGCTCAAAACTTGCCTGCAAGTCCAGTATAGATGCCTTCATTGAATCCGTGGTTATATTCAAGTGATGTTTGTCTTGCTATATGAAAATGATTTAAAACTGGCAGGTATTTAAGGTTATAGACCTGTTTTACACATTTATATAAAGTAATTTGGTGTTAAACTATTTATATTTTATTTTAAATAAGCAGTGCAAAATTTTAATTTTAATTGTGTATATTAAAGTACACACACACTATCTCGTTCAAAACTTGGCCGTTTGGTGATCGCCAAGTCCATCTTTTATGGGTTTTCTACTTGAACATACTATTTAAACATTTCAGGTTTTTTTCTAATGCGAACTCTACCAATTTTTGTCCATGTGGGCTTCGCCGTCCATATGAATACCTGCCTAGTATTCGATTTTCTCTTGATTTAGCCTTCCCAATCTGCGCATTGAAGTCTCCCGTTAAGATAGTGTGCTTAGAATCAACTGAGCTCAGAGCTTGCTCTACTGTATTGTAGAATAGCATCATGTCCTCTTCTTTGTACTTTTCAGTAGGTGCGTATACCTGTATAAAAGTCAGGTGATGTTTTGTAATGTTGTCATCTCTAGTGTGGCTACTCTATCAGAGAAAGCTCTAAAGCTAACTATGTTACTTTTTAGTATTTTATTTATCATAAAGCCTTCACCATTTTTACCTTTAAGGCTCGAAGTATGGCAGAGTATAAACTCGGGATATTCCTCTATGCATTCATTTGCTCTCCTTGTCTCACATAGTCCTATAATGTCCCACTTCAATTTCTTAATCGCATAGTGTAGTTCTGCTATTCGGCTATCATGCTTTAAGGTTCTGACGTTTAAGGTACAAATGTAGAGATCTTTTCTTCTAGCGGTTATAGAAGGGGGGTGACGGTCATACTCCTCCACGGTGACCAGCCGGCTTGGAGGAGGCTGAGAGGCTGTACTTAATCGTTTTTTGGTTCATATACCTTGCTACATACATTTGTGTTATTTGGTTCATTTCGAAAGAAGGAAGTAATATTGCCTGTCTTATTTTTCTTTAAACTATGTTTCACATTCATACCATTATCTAGTCCTTTGCCTGAGTTTTTGGTCTCAGCTGATTCGGGCGATTGTGATAAGTTCCTCTTTTGTGTGCGTATGTTGTTCTTCCCCTTATTTTCTAGATGTATTATCTTGTCATAATGTAAAGCAACCTTTTTCCCCGATTCTCGTTCCTGCCTTAGTTCTTCTTGTAATTGTTTACGTTTTTGTAATATATGAATAGGATAATCTTGTTTAATGTATATCGGGGAATCTTCTAGTACCTTTTTGTTCCTTAATATTTCTATTTTCCTTCCCATGTTACTTAAAACAACTATAATTGGTCTCATTTTATTGTTCTTCTTGCCAACTCTCCTGACTTCTTCTATTTCTTCTTTTGAACAAGTAATTAACATTTTTTTTGTTATGATACCAAAAATCAAGTTGTGTAAGTCATTGTAGTTTTTTTCTGACTCTTCTACTCCGAAAAATACTAAATTCTTCTTCCTTAATTGTTTTTCCATTTGGTTGATTATTTCTTGTTGATGTTCAATTCTGTATTCCAATTCTTTTGCTTTTTGTTCTAAGTGTACAAATTTCTCATTTATATTTGTGTTAATTGAATGTTTTATATTAGTCTCCATATTTATATAATTATATGTATAAAATTAGGTATTTATAATTAAGTATTTGTACATGACATTTATTTTGACGTTGTAATTATGAATTGTTTTAAAAAATTTAATTTATTTTGACATTTTATTTAGTATTTTGAACTTTTAATTATTTTGACATTTTCGATTATTCATTATTTTGACATATTTAGTTTGACTTTTTTGATTGTTAATTATTGGACATATTGAGTTTGACAGTTTTAATTATTTTAACATTTTTCTCGATTTAATCATCATTTATCAATATCAGTATGTTATTTAATTAAGAAATCAAATCAACGTCTATTTTTATTGAATTGAATAAGTATATGATTACATGACTTTAAACACTTGTATTGCACAGGAATAATGAAATCCTTTTATTGTTTTGTATGCTTATTTGCGAAACATGGCGATCTTTTTAAATATGGTTTGTAACATCTGAATTTACCTGTGTTTTACGAAATAAATGATTGATTGATTGATTGATTGATCGATTGTATGGCAGCAATAAGAGCATACATCTCTTTTACATTCGAATACCATGTCTTCTGAATCCAAGACCACTCGCCTGAAAGAAGACTGCCGTTAATGTGTGCACCCCACCCTACATCTGCGGCATCTGTAGTTAGGTAACGAGTGACACCTGTTCTTTTTAATGGGACAGAACTGTTATCTATAACCTTTAGCCACCAGTTTAGATCCTCCACAATATTCGGGGGTAAAGGTCTCCTTTCTCTTGGTCTGCCCTGTATGAATCGTTTGAGAAAAATTTGGAAGTTGCCGCAATGCAATCTGCCTTTTAAGACCGCGTGGTTCGCAAAGTTTAGTTGTCCCAAAAGACTATAAGCCTGCTTTAGAGTGCAACTCCTTTGACGCATCAACTTTATTAGAACCGATTTTATAACGCGTATCTTTTGTACTGGTAAATTTATTGTACTGTCTGCCATGTTTCACAGCAAGCCTAGATATTCCAACTGTTGGATAGGCTCTAAAATCGACTTTTGGTGGTTGATATGCCAGCCTAAAGTCTGAAGGAATGACACTGTTTCCGCAACTTGTCTTTCCAAAACGGCACGATCCTGGTGTACTAAAAGGTAATCGTCTAAGTACACCAGAATTCTGAAATCACGAGCCCGAAGCATTTCTACGATCCAATTTGAAAGGGCTGAAAAAAATAGCGGTGCCGAAGATAGGCCAAAGGGGCGTCAACTGTAGAATTTCGTTGTTGTATATGATTCGTAAGAATCTTCTGTGTTTCCGCAATCGGTAAATGAAATAAGCCTGCTGCAGGTCTATCTTTGTAAGCCAATCCTTGTTCTGTAGAAAATTTATAACTTCTATTTGCGATATCAACTGAAAGGGCCTTGTGGTCACAAACCTGTTTAGACCCCCGAGGTCGAAAATTGGTCTTACTCCGCCATCCGGTTTTTTGACAAGAAACATCTTGGAAAAATAACCTGAATTCGTTACTGCAGGTCTTTCTAAAACCCTCTTTGACTTCAAGTCGTTGATTACACTTTTCATCCGACCAGTTGTAGGAGTCATAAATGCTTTTTGAATATGACTGTAAGGGTATTTTAAGGGGGAGCTTGTATCTGAATGGTATACGTGTGTACGAAATTATTTTTAAAATAAACTGATTAGCTTCTAA